AAAATAATATGACTAAAGTCACGTCCCGGAGCTTCAGACTTCATGGATTGTTAGATAAAATGACTACAATCTAACTGAAATCTAACCAAAATCTAACTAACAGTTTAATTACACTTTTTGATATCAATATTTATTCTCAATTAGAATCATTCTAGCTTCAAATTTGATGTTGTGAAGTGAAAAATTGAGGTTATGTTTGATTAAACCCTAGTACGAGTAATTTAAACTCTTTTTCATCCTTAATAGATCCTTAATAGATAGATAGAAATTGATTCACAATTCGTATAAAAAATTCTTAATAATCCTCAGAACTCTGTGAAAAGATTATTATTTGTAATGTGGTCAAAAGCAGTGATTGAGGCTAAATTTTTTCCCTGAAAATCAACCGAAAAGTAACTAAAATCTAACTAACAAGTTTAAAACTCACGTTTTCGACTAATATTTCATGATTTTCTTCATTAAAATGCACTTTTTCGTATGTCTCTTAATTTTAATCCATTAATTTTAACCATTTTAACAGTTTATTAGAAAAATATTGAGGTTATGTTTCACTTTAGCGTTTTTTCTTCATAAAATCACGATTTTCATGGAGTAAAAATATACAATTCTATCAATAAAGTGAAAATACATTCGGTTTAAGCACAAGAATTTCTACTTTAAGATGTTATTGAGTTTGAAATTATTCACATAACCTAGAAAAATACGTCAAAATTAGAATTTGGATCAAAATTTATTTCTGAGAGTAAAAAAATCAAATCTGTGAACCAAATAATGTATAAATTTAAATCACTTCCACTTTCTAAAACATCTTCTGTTCTGTACACCACTTCTGGCCACAATATCTCCCCCTTGGGCTGATGTAGGAATGCCAAAAGGGGAGTTTTGTCACAGCAAACCAGCGTGTCTTGCATGGGAATGAGAAAGAAAGACAGCAATTGGCTAAGGTCACTCCTTCAACCTAATAAGATGAGTGTGGCGCGCTGGCGTGGAAAAAAGTCCACCAAGTTATTAGCCCATGAGATTTTGCAATTTTATCCACATCAACCGGTTGAGGCGCATCTCTCATGCTTCGAGACATACAATAAGTTGTGAAGCACTGCCATTTACAGACGAAGATGCCTCATTCGTGCAAATCCATCGCGCTCGCGCACGGTGGAAAAAAGCGCGATTTTTCTTCTTTGATGTTGGCTCAAAAGAGGAAAAAAATCGCGACATTTCGCCTTGTTTGGAAGCACAAATATTTCCCAACGGCGCTTCTGCGAAATTTCTCCCTCCAAGGGATCCGCAAGTGGTCTCTTCAGCGCCTCTCAATGGGCAGCACCCCATCGCGATGAGTGGTAATTCACACCTTTGGGATGGCATTTGGCGATCGGCGGAGTGAAAACGGAAGATCTCATCAAAATTTTACCATCCGAGAGAATCGTCTGCGGCGTGTGTAATCTTCACATCGCCGACGCAGACACACAATCGATTATCTAATATCACACAATGTACATTTTGACTCGAGTGATGATCATTACCGGCAGCTCATGTTAAAAATATTAATCGACGATCGTCAGACACTCATAATGGCATCACAGACTAATGGGTATAAATGTTGCACAACCCCTCGATTTATTACAATATGAGCAGCTCTTTCGCAGTCATCGCTCTTCGATCGATTGATTTGTTGTCTATTTTTTAATAATTCCGCGATTTGCATTTCACAGACATGTAATCTATTGTAATATCCAAAATGACTAAAACATTAACAAAACGGATTTATTTACTAAATAATTAACACTAGAAAATGCTGGACATCAATTTCCTTCGAATAAACATGATCAGTCTGGCAAATTCTTGAAGATTGCATTTTATTAACATCAATTCTCAACATATTTCAGGTAATATTTCAATATCTATCAATTAATTTAACTGGGAATTATAGTATATAATTATAAACTTGATTATAAAAGTACTTTAGGGATAAATTAGTCGAATTTCGATGTCATTTTACATGTTAAAATTGAAATCGCTCTTCTGAAAAATTATGATTTTGACTTCTCATGGTTTTCCTAGAAAAGTGTTCATTGTGAAGAAAGCAACTCTCTCTCTCTCCTATTCGCTCTGCCCAAAAGAAGAAGAAGACACTTCACTTGGTGAACTTTAATCAAAGATTCCGATCTTTGGCTTCAATGATCGCCAGAAAATCAGTGATGCCTTCGGTGTCGGCTGTCAAGACTTGACTGCAAAATGTGGAAGGCCGGCGATGATCGGCAGGTGCAAAAAACCTCCCAACAGTTTGTCTTGGACAAACAAGTGAGGAGCCCAAAATGGGTGAGGAAAAAGCCCGGCTGATTCATTTCACGAGTCAGCGGCAATCAATTGGCAGAAGATGTTGTGCAATTTGAGTTTTGACAAAGAGAAAAAGAAGAAAAAAAACGCCTGCCCTTTTGCTCATTGAGCCATCATCAGAGTGGATCGGCAAATAATTTCACTCAATTATTCTTGACACGGCGGGGAAGCCGCTCAGTTTGGCCAAAGACGACGGCATTTCTCCACCTGCACGTCAAGTGCGGGAAAAGCATGCGTTGGAAATCTTACGGAAGATCTTACATGAAACTTCCTACTCAGCATCTTCAAAGCAAGAAGACATCATGCAAAATTTATCGCTTCCGATTGCATTTTCTGCCGCAACATTTGCATTTCTTCTTCTCCTCAAGAAAAGCAAATTCACACGCAACAATCGCCAAATATTTGGACAACGCGCGAAGGCGATTCAACAATCAATCATTTGCATTTCACACGCGTGATAAATTCACAAAAGCGCAGGTGAAATGTGCGAAAATTTGCTATGAAAGAAAGATGGTTGAAAAATTCACGAAATTTTGAGCACTTTGTTGATCTTCAAGTGTTGATAAATTGCAAGGTTTGCGTGAAATTCCTGAAAGACGGGTGAAAACGCTAAAGTCTTGCGAATTGCACAGTCTTTCTCTTTGTCCAGACGACAATTAACAGATTAAAGTGGAAGAAAGCCTCCTTTTTCTCTAAATATTTGCCACTTTGTCAAAATAAATTATCATTCTTGGCCGTGCGCGCATTGGAAAGTTTGGTATGTTTTACATTGAAAACACTGGAAGACGATAAAGAGATAGCAAAAAAAAGATTTCTCACCCAAACAAGACATTGAGTCTCCGTTGGGTGTGGTTTTTTGGGCTCTCTTGGGCACCAACGAGACGCTCGGCGTTATGCAACAGCCAATAACACATATTTAATACTTTGACTTTCAATTAATACTAAATATCATTCTGTCGATTCACTCGAGACACGTGAAATTGCGACCCTTCGGACCCAAATGAAGATTACATGATAAATTGCCCGCCGTTTTATGGGTTTCTTCGGGAGCAGAAGCATGAAACATTAAGAAAAATCATACTTCGAATACCGTAAATTTTGCACACTTTGCAATTCAAAGAAGCTCATCGAAGACACTTCAATTTCTTGGCTATTCAGAGCATTCAACAATAAATCTATGGATAGATAAATGAGAGAAATGTAATTTCCTCAGTGATAAAAAGAAAAATAGATCAATTGGCGGGAAAAGTGAAATTTCTAACTGGGGAAGTCAAACTGCGATACTTTATTTTGATAAATTGCTCTGCGGCTTTTCTACTAAAATTCACTTCCGAGAATTTGAACAATAAACTTTGATTTAAGACTATTTCGTGTGTGACAAACGACAATGAGTTCTTGCAATAAATCATCAAAGTCACAGATGCCTTTTTACAAAATAGACAATTTGTTTAAATTTTTATTACAAATGCCACACAGTCTCGAAATAACCGACAGACTTAACAGCCAATTATCTTGAGGCATTTTAAGATCAATACACTGAGAAAAAAGAGTCAGAGTGGAAATTAAATTAACCCTAGGAAGTATTTTGTGGCCATCGTGGCTAAAATTGAATTTCAAGTCAGAATTGTGCTTCGGAATATGCAAAAACACTTGAAATAGCTTAGAAATCGTGAAATTCTTAGATCTTTTCAGTTCATCGAATACGGATTAATGGACTTGATTATTTTTAATGTTTCTGATTTTATTTCAAATTTAGGGAATTCGCTGATTTTGGTCTCAATTTTCATAATTCAAGATTTATGGGGAAAACCTTAAAAGTACAGAAATTCTTTAAAATATCGATTTTTGTCGATCTACCGTTGAAATGTCGGTAAATTATTACCAATACCGACAATTATCGACATGTATACATTTTCCATTTTTGGAAAACAATTTTTTAAGGGAAAAATAGAACTGATACTGACTAATTAGAACATTAAATGATGATTTTGAAGTATTTTTCCCTAAACTTATGTGGCAAAAATGGAAATTGCACGAAATTCTTATCGATAACTATCGGTAAGTGTCGATAAGTTCGGTATAGAAGACGCCAACTTGGATTTCTTCATATTTCACAGACTGATAAGGTGTCACTTTGCCAACTACGACGCGCCTTCATTGATGCACCGCGGGAGGAAGAGATGCGCGTGACCCAAATGAGGTCTTTTGCAATCGCTCATGTTAATCATGTCGATTCCACGCTTGCTCCGTTACATATTCCCCACGCATTGCCACACGCTCGGTGCGCGTAATTAGCGGCGCCCGCTGAATCGGTGGGTGGCAAAGTGGTGGCGCATTTGCAGAGTCACTGGGTGGAGATCGCATTAGGTGATGATGCGTGAGAAATTGATTTTCACACGCACTTGGCACGCACCTCGAAGGCAATTGTGCTCAAAGGGCAGCCAAATGCGGTTCGATTTTGGGTGTAATGGAATTCCCGCGTTTTTTTCCACTCGCAGCACTCCAATGTCTTGCGCAATATTGCTCCGCGTGAGAGTGGCGCACAAGATCGAGTGGCGACTTTGGTCGGCGGGAGTAAATTGGGTCGTGCGCGCTGAGTCAGAGAAATCGCCTCTGGGTTGGCGTTGAATCTAATGAATTGTCGTGCTTGAATGTCTTCTCCGCAGCCCTCGACCCGGCCCGAGTCGGACTTCACGCTGGATCTGCCGCGGGCGCAGCAGCTGGAGCGGAAGCTGAAGGAGCAGAAGCGCTTCCGGAGTCGCTGCAAGATCTTCGCCTTCATCCTCAGCTTCTTCTTCTTCCTCATGACTGTGATGGTGGTCAGTTTGGTGCTGACCAGGGGCAAGAGGATGTTCGGCAGCATGCTGTGACGATTCTTGCGACAATCTCACGGTGGTTCTTGGCATTGGCCCACGTTCCGGGCCAGCATCGCGAGTGCTGGGCCAATGTTGACGATTCCCTGCAGATTGACTAATTCTATCAGTGGATATCAGTATATCTTCCGGAATGACTACAAAAGAAGCAACTATTTAATGAACAATAATGTTAATGTGTCATAATAAAAATGAGAACAACCATGAATGAATGGAATTTCTTTCAAATTTCTGTCTATCTTAATGTTAAGAGAATTGGGCCGATTCGTTATGGCACGAGATTCAAATTTAGCGCTCAGCGCCATCTTCTGCAGCAACTCTCATCGATGACTCTCAGCCTCGCTGTCGACACCGCTAGAGGCGCTGGCCGCCAGCTGGCCGACATTTAGTTTGTCGACTCTCGGGTTGCGTCTCGTGCAAAAATTTTCTGTGGACAAAAAGGTGAAGAAGTTGTGCAGCGGAAAGATGGACGAGAAGCCCAACACGAAGGACTTGAAGGTGGAGCTGAAGAACATGCGGATCTGTCGCTTCTGTCTGAACCGCAACGAGCCGCTCACGAACATCTATTCGATTGAAAATCGATTGAACAGATCCGTGCCGCTTCCCTTGCAGATTATGGCGTGTGTCGCCATTGAGGTAAATGTCAATGATACAATAATTCTCTTCCCATGCACAGTGCGAGCGTTGCTTGGCGCGGTGTTTTCGCGTGATTGGGGCGAAGGAGTGCCGCGTGAGGGGGTTGGAGGGGGTTTTGGGTGATTTGGGGGGTGAATTGAGGGCTTCCGGGCGTGGAGTGTTGAGCTTCCCGGAAAAGTGGATTGACGGTCGGACAATCCCGCCAAAATTCTCGGGGTTCTGAGTCCGGATGAGCTGAAGAGACGTGAAGAAAGTGTACTAAAGCGCGATTGCGTGTGTTTCAGGTGTTCGTGAACGACGGAATGCCTTCCTGGATCTGCGAGGGATGCCGCGTCTTCATGGAGCACTGGTATCGCTTCAAGCAGATCTGCAAGAAGTCCGACACGCATCTCAGGCAGTTTCATCTCACCGGAGATGTGCCGGATCGCCTCGAGTTGCCGCTCTTGCCGGCTGAGTTCCACAAGGTGAGGAAAATCGTGTGCTTTCGAGGGAAGTTTTATAAATCATATTCTGTGTGTCTTTCAGGCTCTGGGGAAGCACCAGACTCCAGCTCACTCTTCCCCGTCGACTTCAACCACACCGTCACCCTCGTCGGCCTCCCAGCAGGCCTACAAACGTCCTCGTCCGCAATCTGCGCAAACGACGCCGCTGAAGAAGCCGAGACAAGAAGTGTTTGAGGTCACCAGCATGGGCAAAACCGTGACCATCACGAAGAACGTGAAGTCAGAGTCACCGCCGCCGGTGAAGTTGCTCAACAAGTCGCCCAGGATTCTCAACAAGCCCTCAAGTGGCCGAATTGTGCCGATGCTGAGCGAGCCGATCATCAAGACCAACGAATCGGGCACCGTTGAGATCATCACAGAAGTGCTGGACAACATGGAGACGTACAATGAGCCTGATCCCATCAAATTCGCACCGCCGGTGGAGACGAACGTCTTCCCGTGTCCACACTGCGAGCGCTCGTTCCCGTTGCGCCAGCTGCTCGACATCCACGTGAAGAATCACACGAGGGAGCGCGGCTACGAATGCGCCGTGTGCGAGAAGAGATTCTTCAGCAAGTACGACTTGGGGAAGGTGAGTTTCTCAAGAGAGTCTTGGCTTTGCAGCAGCTGCAATACTGTGTGATTTTCTCTGTTTTCAGCACATGCTGACGCACACTGGCGAGAGGCCTTATGAGTGCGTGGTGTGTCGCAGGAGCTTCTCGCGATCGACTCTGCTGCATCGCCATGAGAAGATCCACACGGATCAGCCCAAGTATCTCTGCGGATACTGCGAGCGTCCCTTCTTGTCTGTGGCGGAGTTGGAGAAGCACTCGGAGAAGCACCGGAAGAACAGACCTTTTCACTGCAAAGAGTGCGACAAGAGTTTCGCCTTCAAGCAGGGTTTGGAGCGTCATGAAGTTGTGCACGCCAAGGATCAGCCGTATCCCTGTGAGTACTGCGACAAGAGCTTCAGCACGCCGAGCAAGCTGGCAAGGCATCTCACCGCTCATGCTGGTCATCGGCCATTCCCGTGCAAGATGTGCCCGAAATCGTACGTGTTGAGCCATCATCTGACCAGACACATGCGTTCGCACATGAACAGCGTCGCCACGTACAATTGCTTCGATTGTGGCAGCACATTCTCATCTCGTGATGAACTCATCTATCATTCGGCTGTCCACGCCACGCAGAGTCTCGTCTGTCCGCTGTGCAAGGAGCAGTTTGGGGATCTGGATGAGGTGACGGAGCACATCAAGAGTCACACGGAGGGTGATCAGTATGCGTGTGAGTTCTGCGATTTGATCTTCACCACGGAGGAGAAGTTGAATGAACACACGTCTGGGCAGCACTTTGAGGATCAGCAGAAGTACGGGCCGACAGTTAAGCAGGATGACGAGGAGGAGGAGGAGACACTGACGGAGGAGGTGATTGAGGAGTATGTTGTGCCCGAGGAGGACATTGATAGTATTGAGCCAAAGGTGAAGCAGGAGAAAGTTGAGCGAGTGGTGAAGACGACGCCGACAATGATTAAGTGTACGTATGGGAAGTCATCGGCGCAGAAGAAGGCGCAGCAGGAGAATCAGACGTCCGAGGCGGAAATTAGGCGTTCTGCGCGTGCGGCGAAGGTGAGGAATTATGCGGATTTGTCGCAGGAGAAGCTCGACGATGAGGAGGATGAGGAGTTCGACAAGGAGACGATGGAGGAGGATTTCTCGCCGGATGATGAGAATTACAAGACAGAGGAGGAGCCTGAGGAGGAGGAAGAGCTGCCGAAGAGCAAGAAGAAGGCGCCTCGTGGTGGACAGAAGGGCAGTTCGACGCAGCAGAAGATTTCCGATGTGTTGCGCGAGGCGGGAAAGAAGTCTCAGGCGTCGACGAATGTTCAGGACACGCTGAAGGGGCTGCCGAAGGGTGTGACAGTGACCAAGAGGGATGCGACGCGGGAGAAGCAGACGTACGGAGGGAGTCAGGGAAGGAGAGTGTCTCCGGGGAAGCCGGAGAAGAAGAGTCCGGCTGCGAAGCCCAGGGAGAAGCAGCAGCCGATGGAGCGAAAAGTGCCGAAGAAGGAAGTGATGACTGAGGAGGCGCCCAAGGAGAAGACGACGGAGATTAAGATTGGGAATCAGATACTGAAGGTGAAGAAGGTGGTGATGATGAGGAAGGGCGAAGCTGGAGGAGGAGCTTCGACGTCAAAGGGTGGGAAGTAATCCTCCTTGTCACAAGAAGATTTCCGTGTAGATTCTTAAGTTAATGATAGTTTTTCTTCTCTCTTTTTTCATTACTACAATTTTTATCAGAATTTTATCACTATAGCCGTAGTTTTAGCAGCATTGGAGCCACTATTAACTCCTCTTTTAGCTTTGTGTGTCTAAATCGAGGAATGAATAAAGATTCCTGGGAAATCAGTTGAAGGGATTAAGCTGTAATCACGCCGTCCAGGCGAACATCAGTCGCATCCATTGGGAGTTCATCGTCGGCGACAATTTGCTCCTTGAACGCCACGGCGATGAGTTTGACGCTCTCCCGGCCGAATTTCTCAATGAGGCGCGCCAGGAACTTGTCATAGTAGCCCATGCCATGGCCACAGCGTCCGTGAGACTCCGTGAAGGCGACGCCGGGCATCAGAACCAGCTCCAGACCACCTGAGAGAGCCAAAGTGCGTCTTCACTACAACATCCGCCCAAGTCTCGACTGCTCTCAACTCACCTGACTCGAGTGCAGATTCGCGATTGTCCGACCACTTGGGCTGCTTAATCTTCCAGCTAGTCAGCGGCAGAGCCTCGTAGTCCGCAAAGTCCTTCAGTTTCACCATTTCCATCGTGCTCTTGTGGTAAGTTGGCACGTAAACCTGCAAATTGAAGACACTTTTTAACCCTTTTCTCTCGCTCTTTTCCAGGTCAATTTGCTTAAACCTCCTTCTTCTGGTTGAACATCTCCCGCAGCAGCTCAACAGTGTTGACCTCGGCGTCTGTGGAGAGATAAACACTGATCCTCTTGGCCGCTTTGAACTCTGGCAGCGCCAAAACCTGAAGAAATGTGTGAGAATTGTATTTTGACTTTGGCTGGGAAGGAATTGCGGAAAAGGATTTACCTTTGCCGCGATTGCTTTGGATTGTGTGTCTCTTCCTTCGGGCGTCATGGCCTCCAATTTGGCCTTAATGCGAAGACGAAGAGCAGCTTTGGCGGGATTTCGGATCATCGTTTTTTGGGACTATTTGACTCTCTGCGCGGCTGGAATGAGACTGAAGTGAATTTTTCGGTGAGTAGTCGACGCAATATTGTGAAAAAATCTCTGTTATCAGAAAAATTGGACATATTTCTCAACCTTGGGTCATGTTTACACTACACTTTGTGCAATTCATCTCTGTGGACTTTCCGATGGGTTTGCACGCGTGGATAAAATCCAAATCTCTCTGTCTAAGGAGGAGATAATAAGCCTCAAATATGTACATCACTTCGTGACACTTCCGCAGACACTTCTGAACGTCTTTGAAGGCATTTTCCATCGCCTTTTCGACTCCTTTAACGATTTCTCTTATTGATTTCTGACTTATAACAATCTAATCCAATTGTGAGGTTATGAATCTTGCTTAAAAAAACCATTCTTGGGCTAGTTTTGGTTCTTTCTAAGCTGAAAATGAGTTTCTATAGGAAAACGACGGTTAATTTGCCATTTTAAAGCGCAAAACTGCGAAAATAAGTAAGCAAAGAGACATTTATGAGGTTATTATTGATTTTTCAGTTTTTTCTCAATAAATATGAAGTTTTTTTTGATACTAAAGAGAAATATTCCCAGATTGAAGAGAAATTTGATGATTTTGCGAGTTATTTAATCACCAAAAACTGTTTTAAACGTTTTAAATCAATCACATAACCTTAAAAAGCAATAAAATTGATTTTCTAACCTAAAAAATATTGAAAATGCATCAGTTTATTGAAAAAAGTGCAAATATCTGTAATATTTGATCACTTTCAATTCCTTACACTTCTTTTAAAAGCTGTACACCACTTCTGGCCATAATATCTTCCCCTTGTCACGGACTTATTAAACAAGTCCAGCATTTTAATGCACTTTCAATATAGCAAAGTTCAGAGGCCAATTTCACTTTTCCTTCAACCCTTGAATGGAAATTGATGAGAAGTTCTCTCTTGAGCGTACGTGAAAGTTATTTTGTCATTCTATTCAATGGGAATTTCATGCTCGTGCGAGGAAAATTGTTTAATTCTCCAACATTCAAGAGAGAGAGAGAGGGAGACTCTCATGACGTTTTGAGTGGATTCGTTGGAGGGAAATCGCAAAGGGAATTGTTACAGAAAATATTCATTAAATGAGGAAAGTTCGACTTTCCATGAAAAGTGCTCTCAAAACTGACCTTTTAAGTGAAAATATTTTCGCAGCACTTCAAAACGGAATTCAAAGAAGCTCTGAATTTACTTAACACTCAGTGTGAAATGCAATTTTGAGGGAATTTCAACAAGAATCACAACACAATTATCTCACCACACATTTTGACAGCGATAAAGTGATCATTTTTGATAACCCATAAAATCAAAGAGAAGAACAAGATTTGGAGGTTAAAGATAAGGCGCGCGATGGTGAGTTTTCAAAGACAGAAACCGTCTTTTTGGAGACTTCCAACTTCAATTTGTCTCAATTAACTAATTACTCGCCAACATTCTCTCCACCTTTTTGGGCCATAGAAAATAGACGAGAAATCATTCATCTTATTGTGTATCTTGTGATGAATTATTTATGTACAAGTCAGGAGGGATTTTTTCCAAGAATTTTGGTGTTCTGCCATGAAATCACTTCAATCATGATAAATTCGCTTCTGTATAGTTCTTGCGACAGAATACATTTTGGACACCCTCGTAAGTCAACATTTTCTCTCACTTCTCTCCTTATTTTCTTGTAACATTTCCAGTCTGAAGGATAACATTTAATTATTCCTGGTCAAGTAGCTGAGAAGATGTTTTCTGAGGAGAGACTTCAATAAAGATGCAAATGATTGTGGCAAATGCAGAGTCGCTTTGCCGACACACACAGATTTGATTACCATGAATTTTCGGCAAAAAGGGAAGAATGAATATTGCATTGTTCAATTTATTTGGAGATTAATTTCTGGCTCTTGCAAGAAATCTCGTCAAGATTTTCACATGTGCATTTTGTGTAATATTGTAAATATTGACAGAATTCAATGTTGTTTCTCCCGCATTTTCTGCTCGCTAAGCAATCTTTTCGTGAGTGTTCTCAACTCAGGCTGTGTAAAGTTCAAGCCATCTATTATGGTTGGTTTATTTTGCAAATTCAAACTTGTCTCTTATTATACGAATCACCAAGGGGGAGATAATACAGTCAGAAGTACGTAAGAAGTGGAAGAAGTGTACAAAAACTTACAATCTTTCTTTCCTGCGAGGTTTTTTTTACTGGCTTAGTCATCTTGATGCTTTAGATTTCGTTTGAACAGTACGGAAAGAGATCAAAAGAAATACTTTTCTAGGTTATGTAATGAATCACGGACGGATTTAGTGGATAATTCGCATTCTAGCACATCAATTCTTATGCTAAAGTTGCCAAGAGTGCTTGTCATTGGCAGAATTAGGTATTTTCACGCGATAAAAATTGATATTCTGATCTTTAATTGCCAAAAAAACACTGCAAATTGTGTTAAGATCGAACATAACCTCAAAAAGAGTATTGTGGACTTTAAAGATTTCTTTCTGCACGATTCTGACTCTGAATCAACCAAGGAATCAGCAGTTTTGAGTTAAGTTTTTATCTTATCATCTAGAAAGCTTCCAATTAAAGTCTTTTTATATCTCTTAGTGATATTTTTGAGGTTATGGTCGGAAAAAAACGCTAGAATAAGCCGTTTTAAGTAGGATTTTTTCACAAATATCGCATGGAACCTCAAGATATTCATTATAATTTGCGAATTATTGTGTAAACATTCTAAGAATTTGATGTGCTGGAAGTATTGTACAGTTTAAGTGCATATTGTCTCCCCCTTTGCGAATTAATTGAGAAAGAAAGAAAGTCGGAAACATTTTTATGACATTCGCTTGGGGAATTTCTCTACATTTCTCTCATTGACAGGAATCAGAAAAGGAAATATGAGGAAATGAAACGTAATTGAATTTTCCCGTCAAAGAGAAGATCTTCTGTGCATAAAACTGCGTTTGAAGTTGAAGGGAAGGGAAAAAGCTCTAACTTGCAGAAATTCAACACCATAATAATTGCTTCTGGTGCAGGAACAAAAGGCAGACTTTGTCCTTTTGACCTCCTTTTTTTCATTTGTTTGGGGCGAATGTGAATCCATTCTGTGTGAAATGAAAGTTAAATTGAGCGTGTTAGAAACTTGTCCACCTCTTTTATTTCCCAACAGCACACAGAGTGAGAAGAGAGGCTTTTGGAGGCGATTTCAAATTAGAATCTGAGGCAGAAAAAAAGACGCCTTTATCAGTTGGAGAGCATTTTGTGGCATCAGCCTTCAATTTGATATTTGTGGGTATTATGCAAATATCGCACCATCTCTTGGGCCCCCAAATGCAGAGGTGCTTTCGCCATTCTCGCTTTTGCCAAGGGGGAGATAATACAGCTAAACAGTTTACACAATTTCTGTAGAGAATCACAGACTTTCCAGAACTTCGACAGTGCTTAAAACGTGCGTTTTCCCCCCATTTTCTTGACTTCATACATTTTTCTAACCGCCTAAATTATCATAACCTCAAATTAAGGAGTCTTTTACCTTAAAACACGACATTTTTACTTTGAAAACATACGAAAATACAGAATTTTAGAAATATTTAAAGTTTCCAGCAAATATTTAGATGTGATTTAATTTTCAATCGCTATTTTGGATGAACTTCGGATCATAACCTAGAAATTATCTTAAGATTTGTAAAAGAATGTTTGAAAGAAACTTTTTCGGAATCTTTTAAAGGTAAGACTAATCGATAATAAGCTGAAATTTGCTGTTTCCGTATAAAAAATCAATCAAACAGCAATTGAAATAGACAGTTTTGTATCATGAAACTATATTTTTGAGGTTATGATCAATCTTAGCATGATTAACATAGTGTAGAATTAAAAGCTTGTTTTCTTCATCAGATTTCAGTATTATTTGGCACAATAATGAATGATTTTAAAGGTTTTTCAGTGGAAAAGTGTGTCTTAAATTCATAACATAACCTAGAAAAATGTAAAGAACAATTCTTTTTCACCAATTATTGCGTTTATTCATATGAAATAATCATTTTCTCCCCCTTGAATTTTGCCATCGGACTTTGTCAGTCGCCTTTATTGATGGGTGTGTTTTTCAGCACGAACCCACCCAATTTTTCCGCCAACCTCCAGATAAAAACCCACAATTTCAGCTGAGATAATGAAATTTTGGCGGGAGAATTTGTTTTACGGGCGATTTTCCGTATTTAAACCGTATAAATCGCATAAATTTCAACGCTTACCGAGTGATTACGAAAGCTTATGAATTTACTAATTACCTTCCGAGCGATTAAATTTATTTTAATATTATCCTCAGGCTTGACACAAGAGTGGCAAATCCTGAGTCTAAGCGTGATTGTCGTTAAGAGACTTTGATGGATCCTTTGGTGACCCAGAGAAGGCTTGCGAAGGGACAAACACGCCTGGAATCAATTGGCGGAAATGCGATTCTCTGCTCGCTCCGCAATTTGTGTGATTGATTCCACCTTGACGACAGGCTTGTCTCAAACTAATCCCGACTCATCTCGAGTTTAATCACACAAGTGCCTAATGAGTGCATCCCTTTTTGGAGTGCCCAGAAAACAAGGGCGAGTAAACTCTGGCAGCGCCTCAAACTCCTTCTGCGCTGCTGCTCGGCGTGTTAGTGTGTTAAGAAAAGGTGAATGTGGGAATTGTTGTTGTTGTTTGAACCCTTGTGCCTTTCTCGGTTTCCTTGCTGTTTGTCGACAGAAAATCCAATTAGAGACTTTACTGTCGCAACACTGAATAATGTAAATGAATTTGCTAAAGTGGTGAAAATGTCTCTTTCTCTCACACATTTTCCATCCCCCCGTCGATCCTCGGTCACAGGCGACGCTTGATGGGTGATTTTCAGACAATATTATTTGCCAAGATGATTGTCGATGACCCCAATTTGGGAGGCTTTTACATCAAATCTGTCGAGCAATAGCTCATCAAATAATCCCATGCGATATTGGACAATTCTGCTTGAACTTTCGGTTCACATTATTGTTATTGTTCACTGAGTGTAAATGCAAATTTGTACAGGGTTTCTGAGAATCTTCACTTGACTATAGTTATTTTGGAGATGTGAATTCACTCCAGCAAATTTGAGTTTCAGAATTATCACAGCGGCGTAAAACGTGGTAGAATAATCTAAGAATTTGATAAATCAATGATAGACATTCCATGCAGAGCTTAAAATAAATTTATTATCATTGCCACAGAAAGTGATAAAGTTCCCTAAAATCGCAAGGCTCCGGCAAAGGTGCTTCATATTGGTGGTTTTGTTTTGGCTATGGATTGGCAATCACACATCATATTTGATTTTTTTTGTTTTTGATCCAGACCACCTAAGCCCTGAAGAGCTATGCTGGAACTATAATTATTGCCCACGCTGTAATTATTTGGTCAAAAAGACCTAAACAGCATGTAAATCTCTAAATTTTGAGAATATTTGCATGGCGCTATTTATACAATTCACATGAGTGTTGTAATCACGAAGTATATTATTGAAATGGCATGGTTATACATGATGCGACATCTATGCACTTAAATGCACATCAGTACTTTGACTGGTCGCCGCTACATTCGCTAGTGCATCAAAGGAAACGAAAAAAGTAGCTTTTTCAATTTCAACTTTGAGATCTCATTATTTTTTGCTCGCTGGGAGTGATTATAGCAGAACTTGAAGAGTAACGTTCAAATGAGCAATTGTCATCCTTATGCTCAGTGATTTTGCAGATAATAACCTTGACGAAGAGTTAACAGTGGCTTTAGTCCTCTTCAAATCACCCCTTAAACCCGAAAACCCTCAGCCAGAGATGTTTTCTATCAATTTGCCTCAAGTATCTCTATCAAAGTCAAATTAGCATCACTCAGGAATGCGGTCCTCGAGTGGCTTTTCTCCGGGGAGAAAATCAATTTTGGGGTGACCGAGGGTGGGTCGTGTCGGTGAATTCAATATTGTCGGTTCACAGGCGAGGTGGTGAGTGGGGAATTTTATTGAGAATAAGAGCGCATTCGATGGTATATATGAAGTGCGTGGCACTCAATCTCACACCCAAGACCACGTCAGCGATCGTATAAATTTTCACGAGCCATCGTCTGTGATGCTGTCTAATAGCCCCTCTCTCTCTCTCCCCCCCTCTCTCCCTCTCCCGAGGGGGTGAATCGAACCATTTTTATACGTATGCCAAATATCGCGATTACAGCTTTTATTGTCATATCCTTCTATTTGGTCCCCTTTTTAACGGTCTCGCTATCGTAAAGTTCAGATTCTTATCAATGTGTCCTGTGGTGATGTTGTCGCGTTTCTTGCATAAGAAGAAGATGGGAAGAATTGAGATACAATTGTTCAAAATTGGGTGAATTTTCAGCCTCTCGCATTGATTAATTTGCATATTTTCCCATTGTGTGGGTTTCAACAGTCAACTGCGTGTGCCGCGCGCGTATAATTGAAAGTGACCTTTCCCAAAAGGAAAGCCAAAGGAAAAAAGAAGACGATCGTAAAAGAAAAGCAGAACAGTCTCTTACTCATTATGACTGTCAGCCGTTTGGGTAATAAAAGGGACTTTTGTCCTTTTTTTATTAATGCCTCTCTTTCAAGCATCTTCCTTGTGCTTCGGCATCAAAGTCCGCGCTATCTCAGCTTCGGGAGCGGCGTCTCTCTTGGCGTCCATCACAAGTCCATGGCAGACGAACATCTGCCTAAAGCTGGCAGATTACCTCACGTAGGCGTCGTGGGAGATGCTATTAGAATCTCACATTCCGGATACAATCCTAACACCATATCTCAGCGCCATAACTCCCAATTCCGCTTCTCATTCCCACGCGCGGCCTTTCCCATGCGACTTCCGTCTTTTGAGGGCTGTGAAAATCAATGCTTAAGGGTTGATTTTTCTCCATTTGCGTGGGAACGAGGAGAGATCACGAGGTTTCTGTAAATTATTCCTCCTTTTCCGCTGATGATTGATGAGTGGGTTGATTTGTTCACGGGGATGTTATCAATCATCAGAGTACATTTTCACCTGATTACTCCTATTTTTGAGTCGCTCAGCTCAATTTCATCGCTCTCCTCTTTTGTACACAGCACGAGAATTCGTCTATTTTTATAATAACTTTCCTACACAGCTCTTCTTCGTCACAATTATTTCCAGTCTTCTGTTGATTTTTTGGGGGGTGAAGAATGAGAGGGAAAGAAGGAAGAAATTGCATAAATTTTGCCACGAAATCACAGAATTCCAGTGAAATTGGTCTCGAAGAAAATGGTACTTGAGTGAAGGGAGAAAAAGCGAGAATTTAATAGTCGTCTATGCAATAGAACATGGACAGAATATATAAATTCATGCCAAGAGCGCGCAGTAAAACTAATAATCATAAAGTAAATCCTCACCATGCACAGCCTTGGCATTGTCCCTCTCGTCCCAGAAATCTTTGCTCCCTCACTCTTTCCCTCTGCCCTGAGCTCCCCTTTTTCCGACGAAAATCCCAGAGATTTGCGACACGCGAGGGAGTGAGAATTTTCCCAGACGCGCTGTGTGGAATCATCCCCCAAAAAAAACACCCACACGGCCTCCCACAAGTCGTCTGTCTTCGCCACTCAACAAGTTTGCTGTGTCGCTCTGGGCTCGATGGCAACTAAGGGAAATCCCTCCACCTTGACTCACCCTTTGGCAGACGGCGAGAGAACTCCTTTGCCATCAGCGGCGGAAGAATCACGCAAAGACTCCGCTCTGCCCATCTTTATCTCCTTCCGCCGCTGTTATTAGTTTTTATTCGAAAGTCTCAGGCTTTTGTCCTCCCGACTTCTTCACCCCTTCATGTCCGTCCAGAATGACTGACACTGATGGGAAGATTACGCGTAATGTTTCTCCATATTGAATATCAATCGAAGGCGTGTTTGTTCCATTCAGAATTTGTCACTTGTCCTCATTCATGTTTACTTTGACGAGCGATTCTTGAATAATTTCGCTTTGAACAACTCAAGAGGAAAGTTACTCGCGGTTTCCAAACCATTAACCACATTAACTGTGAGGTTATTTGCCTCCAAATAATCTCTATCAATCAATATAATATCATAAAGGGCAATAAATGTCATTGAAAACAGCAAAGAAAAGGGAAAGAAAGTCATAAAATTTGCCACAAACTAGACTCGAAGTCCTAAAAGTAGGTGAAATACAATCGAAACTTCTACATGCCTTTCAAACTTGATCAGTTGATGATGAATTCTGACTTTTTCTACGCTAAAAACTTCATTTTCATCCTTAAATTTGCCTCTCTTTGCCAGAATCACGCCAGAAAGTCAGTGAGAAATGCGATATAAGTAGCGTCCCCCACGCTAGCTTTGCTGCCCTCTGGCGGCAATATGGGGAGAAGCTATAATTTGATTTATTAGCATATTTTGGCGAAAATATGAAATTCTTGTGATTTTTGCTGTAATCTGGAAATGGAATAACTTCAATTAATACATGTTTCGTGGCTTTTTTTTGGCATGTCGTCCAAAGTCAAATGTGTAGACTATGATTATTTGATGACATATGACTAGCCATCGCTTTAAGGATTTATGTTGTGGATTGAAATCGCGTCAGAATTGGGAAGAATTTCAATCTTGTCGTAAGTCTTTTGTGCATAGAATTGGATAAAATTGAGCTTACTCATGGGGGCTTTTTCATCCCCCTTGGCCTTATCGCTGGGGTAAAAGCCTATGCGGATGAGGCTTGGGGATAAATTGTTGAGCTCAAGAAGCGGACAAATAACATTGATGGGAAAAATTTCCCATAGGAATTTGCCTTCTTCGGATAAATATCTCTGCCAACTTTTCATCCATCTCATTTTGTACATATAATATTTCAACAAACACAATTTTGCCTCGTGTGTGCATTGATGGAATTTGCAGTATTTTCCACTGAACGGAAAATTATGGCTCCCACTTGAATTGTGAACCACACAATTCTGGAGCTTCAAGCGAATGAGAGTGAGAATGCGAGTCGATTTGACGATTGCGATTGATGGCAGAATTTAGAGCTTATCGACACGTGATCGGATTCTTTGTTTGTGGAACTTATGAACTTCCAAAGCTACCAGCCGAAGACAATGGTAACAAAGAAGTTTTTGATGCAGTCGAAAGAGGTTTCAAGTTCAAGCGAGGATTTTCCCATGGAAAAAAGCTTCAAGAAAGCTCCCCGATAAGTGCATAGTTAGGGGAATAATTGGACGCAAATTACCAGAACTATTTTGTAATTCTGCCACCCTTTGTTCAGCATCCACAGGAAGTCTCTTGGCAGCAAATAATTAATTCTGTTGTACTTCTCTTTATGCCGTTGTCGCTCAACATGAAGTTTGCGCGTAAGAATTGCAACTGACAAATTCTACCAACTATAATTTTTACCTTTCAGAAATACAGCAAATGAACTCTTACACATTAAAACTCCAATGAATTATCCAGAATCCTGCAGAAGCAGCAATTATTGCTGGAAAAATATACATAGAGGTGAATTTTAATTGGAGTGAATTGAAAAACTCTAGGTTGGAAATGTTAATCCTTGGATATTTTTTCATTGCGTTGATAATCTAAATGAGTCGCTCGTAATAATTAGAGTGAAATTTAATGATTAAACGAACTTACCAAGTGAAGTTCTATCATAATTGTACGAAGCTCCTCTTCCGAGATGATCAAACTATGTAGTCCCTCCACTCTGTGCCGAAATCCACACGTTTCATCGATAAATTCAAAAACAAACACTGCTAACTTCACTCCGCGGATAACCTCTGGCGGCCATATTGCCGTCCTGATCTGTCATTTTTCAAAGTTTGGCCGTAACGATTTAGTATTTGGGTTAGACTTAGAAAGTCTGGGAACATAACGGGTGGGGTTTGATCATCTCGGAAGAGGAGCTTCGTACAATTATGATAGAACTTCACTTGGTAAGTTCGTTTAATCATTAAATTGTACTATGCTCCTCTTCCTCGAGATCAAACTATGTAGATGTTTATAGCTCGTTACGGCTTTATATGTGAATTAACAAGTTTATTTCTGTTATTTAAGAAATATGAAAATATTTCTCCTGAACATGGGAGATCACCGTTATACATTTCACTTTCCATCTAAGATAGCTTTGGCAAATCTCTCCTTGTTTTAAAAGAAATAAAGAGATTTTTTACATCTCCGCGAATCAATTCAGTTTTCTGAATGTAAGCCTTCATGGCTGATGCTACACAAATACTTAAATCCCTTTTAGTATGCAGCTCTCCCTGATATAATCGCGGCAACCAGGGTAATCTTTCTCCAGAAATTGGTTTCGCTGTCAATGGAAGAATGAATGTATGAATCAGCTGAGAAGTAAATTACTTCTGAAACGATCATTGATTGAAAAATTGGGTACCACGGCTGAGATGGCCAATTTGGGACAATCATGATTCCCTCGGCCTTTTCATACTGAATTTTCTGTAAGACTCGTAGAATTATTGAAAACGGCGGGAATGCATAGAAAAAATATGAATTCCAAGAGATTGTAAATGCATCAATCGCGAAAGAATGTGGGTCTCTTTTCCATGAGACATATCTCCGACATTTTGCATTTGACCGCGAAGCAAAAAGATCTATCTGTGGAGATCCAAATTTTCTAACAATCTTTCGAAAGCCCGCTTCCGATAATTCGAATTCAGTGTTCGCCTCGAGTTTTCTCGACTCCAAATCAGCCTCAACGTTTTCTTCTGATGTTATATAGGATGCAAAAATATATATATTTCGCTTTTCGCACCAACGCCATATCTTTTTGGCCAAGAAACTCAAATCTTCTCTCTGTACTCCGCCCATTCTATTTATGTATGAGATTGCTGTCGTATTGTCAATACGAAGAAGAATTTGACTGTCTTTATAACGATCAGCAAAACATTTGAGTCCGAAAAAAGCGGCTGTGAGTTCTAGAAAGTTTATACTTAAATCTTTCTCTTCCTCCTTCCATGAGCCATGAGCTCTTTCACCTTTGTAAGCCGCGCCCCAACCTGATTTTGACGCGTCCGTGAATATTGTCAAATCGTAATGAGGATTACGAATAGGATTGAAACTTGAACTTCCAATCGTATTCCACCACGTCAATTCTTTCATAACCTCTTGGTTAATTGACAGTTTCCCGTTATAATTTCCCTTGCTTCTCAAAAGAGCTAAGAATTTCAACCTTTCACAAGCTTTTGTATAAACCAAACCGTATTTCACAGCTGGACAACAAGAAACTAGAAATCCGAGCATCTCAGCAAATTTCTGAATCTTATATTCGTGATTGGCTTTAAATTGACTAGTCAATTTTCTAATCTTAGCTTTCTTGTCATTCGGTAGCTCTACCGTCATGTTTAGAGAGTTATAATCAACTCCCAAGAATCTACAAATTCGAGACGGCTTCAATTTACTCTTCTCATAATTAATTATGAACCCCAAGTTGATCAAAAGCTCTTCCGTACATCTCACGCTTTTTGCGCACTCCGAATAGGATTTTCCCATTATCCATAAATCGTCTAGGTAAGCTACCAATGTGATTCCTTGTTGGCGTAAAGCGGAGACAACAGGTTTCATGATCTTTGTGAAAACGTAAGGAGCTACGTTTAATCCAAAGGGCATGCAAGTAAATTGGTAAAGAGTACCTTTAACCAGAAATCGCAAATATTTTTTATGCGTCTCGTGAATAGGAATTAAGTAGTAAGCATCTTTGATATCTATAGAAGCCATGTAACAATTCTCGGACATGAGTCTGATGACGGTTCTGCCGTCCTCCATTTTAAAATGTGGCGCATCAATAAATTCATTGAGTCTTTTCAGATTGATAATGAATCGATTCGAACCATCTGGCTTTGGGATTAAGAATATTTTGGAAATAAAATGATTTTTCTCGGGATAGCATTCTTCTACTGCTCCTTTTGAAATCAATTGCTCCACCAAATCTTTGATTTTAGCAAGCTCAGAAGCTGATGAGTCATCCTCTGATGGAGGATTATCTTGGATTACATGATTATTGAAAGGAATTTCGTATCCTTTTAACCAAGAGAGGATCACCTTATCGCTACTTATGTCATTCCAGGCGTGGCTAAAAAACTGCAGGCGCCCTGCAGGTTTTCTTACATTAATTAGCGACGGTGATATGACTTCTTGTTCTCCCCTCGGCTGTCTCTGTATTTCCTGGATGGCTGTTGACGTTGACGGTGTTGTTGCGGCTTCCTCGTTGACCTCGCTGACCCGCCAGTTGACGCATATTTCCTTTGCTGATTGCGCGGCGGGTTTTCCCAGTTTTTTGGCTTCGGATCCTTCCTCTTGACATCTCTTCCCGTCGACTGCATTGACTTGGTGGTCTTAACCGTCTCCTCCAAGTCTTTCCCAAAGAGAAACTCATCAGTTGTTGTAGATTGGAATGCATCCCTCATCGACACGTCCACATTCGCAATCACGAGATTTCTGCGAATTACAGATTCGTCATGCTGAAGATCAGACAGCAATTTGCCTGCGCCTGCCAGTAGTGTCATCAATTCACTCCATCCGGGAAGAGCCTTCTCCTTCAACAACGCCACTATCACTCGAGTCACCGCTGAGAGAGCGGAAGTGATCTTTTGTTGTCTCTTGACAATCTTGTCATCCCTGGCAACAATAGCGTCGTGCATTATGATCTTCACCAGTTGATTGAGCACTGGTGGCTCGAATCTGAGGCAGTTCTTGGGTGGTGTGAGCTGTAGCAAAAGCTCTTTCACTGACTCTTCTGGCAATCCCTTCTCTACAATCTCTTCGAACCGCATCGCCAAATTCGGAATGACATCTGGGGCCAATTGGCGATTGCCGTAGAGATTCTCGCCAAGAATATTGAGAATTTCTTGCTCAGCTTCAGTGACATGGTCAGCTGTGTCTTTCTGATCTTCTGGGCGTACAGAGCCTTCAGGACTTACGGATCCTGTCTTAGAAGGTGAGGGAGTGGCACTCTTAGCCTCACTTTCTGAAGAGCTTGTGAGCTCAACAGATCTTCTCTCAGAAATGGAAGAAGATTTCTTTCTGAGCTGACTTGTGGACGCAATTGGAGATCTCGATCTATCTCTCGGTCGATATCTGGGCTGCTCACTGCTACTCTCACGGCTGCTGTCACGACTGCTGACGCTGGATCGGCGGCTGCTGTCCGGACTGCTGCGATGCCTGCTCCTCTCCCGGCGGCCTGGCGAGCGGCTTCTCCCTGCAGTTCAAAGTAAGACGAAATATGTCAACTATGATGAACTCGAAGGAGGCCTTGATGAGCTGCATTTGCGCAAAACCCAGTATGACTGGCGGAGACTAGTGACAACTAGTTTTCCGGAGAGTTTAACTCTCTTCTGCCGTGTGTGAACTTGAGCCTTCGGCTCAAAACTACTTACCGGGGGGCGATCAAACCCCGTTCACACTGTGAGTATGACTCACGATTGGCAGAAAGCGCAAATTAAATGAGTGTGACTCATTTATAAGAGTGGCAACTCTTATTTTTGTGTTCAAAGAACACTGCAGCGTGATCGCCGCCATATTGCCGGAACTTCTCGTTGCTGGAACATTCTAGAAGTTTCCAGAGAAATCGCTCAATTACTGCGATACTTACCGCGCTTTTTGCGCTTTTCCTTCGCCTGGCGCTTGAGCTTTTTAAGCTTTCGCTTAAAACACTTCAGTTGCTCGCGTAAATCCAGCTTTTCCTGGTGATCTCGCATTTTCACGAAAAAACGTGTTTCTTTCACGGCACACAAAAGAAGAATGACAGATCAGGACGGCAATATGGCCGCCAGAGGTTATCCGCGGAGTGAAGTTAGCAGTGTTTGTTTTTGAATTTATCGATGAAACGTGTGGATTTCGGCACAGAGTGGAGGGACTACATAGTTTGATCTCGAGGAAGAGGAGCATAGTACAATGTATTTTTCTAAAGGCAAACAGAAATCGTTCATGCCATTCAAAATGGTTCGTCTTATCTAAATGTGCAGCTCGGAAATGCTATGATAACTCTAAAGAGGCGATGAGTGTTCTGCACTTTCCCAAGAAATTCTATAAATGCACTCTGAGTGAAAATGTAATCAGCTTATCATGAAATTGTGCACAAAATCTCCACGAAAGGGGTAAAAAATTTGTTACTCCCTTGAGAGGGAGTCGGAAAAATTAGTTAAAGTGATAGTATTAAAAAGGATTATGATGTATAATTCTCTTTTCATCATTTTGGCTCAGATAATCTGACGAAAGCAGATTAGACAATGTAATTATTACATCGCTTCTCCTTCGCATTGGAGGCCCTGCACATCTTCTTAGCGTGATATAACACTGTAAATAAGAGACAAGATTATGCTGGCGATAGCATTTTTCAATCAATGATTACATCAATGGATAACCAAAATGAATTCCAAGAGGAAATTCGAAGAGGAAAACTAGACACTGATGCTCAATTTATGTGAGAAAAGCCACAAGGGTTATCCTTGTGATTTTCCAAAGGTGTAAAAGAAGAGTTACGAGACTGGATTTTCACCGCAAATCCATCTTGGCGTTAACATAGATGAAAAGGGGAAAATTCACCTTCACGCTGTATTGTTTACTCCTTTTTATTGATAGGCATCTGCCCTGCATTATTCAGTGTGAATTGATTGTAAAGCCCGCAAAGTCTGATGTCATTGACAACGTGAAGTGCGCTGGGAAACTTTTCTTGCGTGCATTTTTGTGTGGTTCCAATTCGATCGCGAAAGGGAAATGTCCTCAGACGATAAGAGCATCTTGAGAGCTGTGATTCAATGTGCTTCATAAGTTGTGTATGCCAAGGGGAAGATAATACAGTCAGAAGTACTGAAAAACTTACAATATTCCTTTCCAGAGTGCTTTTACTGCCCAGTCCTCCTGATTCTTTAAATTCCTTTTGATTTCTTAAGTAGAATCAATCGCAATTATAATTTTCTAGGTTATGTCATGAATTAAGGACATATTCAGTGAATTATTCGCATTCTAGCCCATCAATCTTATGCTTCAGTCAAAGAAATCGCCAGTCATTGGCAGAATTTCGCATTTTCATCTAAAAAAAACACTGCAAATTGTATTAAACTAGAACATAACCTAAAAATAGTCGTTAGGACTTTTTTTTCCTTTTAATGCTGTACGGTCCCAGCCTTTTCGGCCACAAGACCATCGTTAGGACTTGGAAAATTGTTATTTAGAGAACTTTCTGGACAATTTAACCTCTAAACCAGCAATTATGAGTTCATTGGCAAATCATAACAGAAGATTTTGAGTCTTTTGAAGATCTCTTAGTAATGTTTTTGAGGTTATGGACGGAAGAGATACTCAAAACTTAGTTTTTAAATGGTTTTTAAAGAAATATCGGGATGGAAACTTAAGACATTAGTGAGGAAATAGCCTGAAACTTGGTCTAAACACTTCAAGTGCGTGTTAGGCCTCTTTGGCAGTGTTCAGGAAGTGGTGTAGAGATTTAGGGCACATTATCCTCCAGATGGCTCAGCTCAGCTCGATGGCAGGATGCGACCCAATTTCTCGCGCGCGCTGGCGAGTGGACGTCAGCAGAGGAGCGCGCAACAGTGTGTCTGGCGTGGACTTTCCCGACTGAAAGCGCCTATTTAAACTTGACCCGCAAATGTTCCCTCTCTGGAGCTCCTCCACCACTGCCTCTCAGCTCTCGTGCGCACACTGGCGGCGGGCTTTGGCACATGCCGCGGCGCGCATGAGCTTTCGCCGTCACGTGGGCAGTGCATCTCGCTCGCGTGTGCCACTTTTGCCATGCGGGCGCGCGCGCGCGAGCGAGACGGACAGAGGTGATCGCGATGCAGGCAGTGTGTTGGACACCAGTGACGGCGGAGCCGAGCAGTCAGTCGCTATCAGTCCCTCAATTGTGTGAGACGTGTTCACAGCAATTGCGTGAGATTTCTCTCTTTTTGTACATATCGAGAATTGAATTTAAGTTATAAGACAAGACCATACATTTCGTTGATTTTCACGCAAATCGCCACGTTAACAATAATTGATTGTACAGTGTGTGTCTCGAGGAATTTTCCCACTGTTTCTCTCACTCTTCGTGTCACTTTTGCAACGTGGTGTTGAAGCTCTTTCTTTGTGTTTGGGGGGCATATTTCGTCAGTTTGCGCCAAGGGTTCGCGCTGTGGGTGCTGGGAAAACGGGGTGAAAAGTCATTTTCCCGTTTTTGGCAAGTGTTGGTCGCTTGAAAGTTTGTGCCGAATGCACTATGTGTGCGAAATGTTGGTGAGATGTTCTTGCGTGAAAAGTGCGCAAATTGACACAGCTTCTTCGCCACTGTGAACTCATACTTTTCCGTCTGCAGACCGTCAAATAAGGTGTGAATTGTTTGAATTTATTTATTAAGCACGCCGACTGGCTCATTCCCTCGAGAGAGAGGAGAGAAAAGAATAAACCTTGCGGGAGGTGTTTAAGTTTCCAATTGTTGCCCATTTATCGTGCCTCGGGTTGTGGAGTGATTTTTTCCGCATTGACATTCCTAATAAATGCCTTTGTCGCTCAACTGCCCTGCAAATTCATGTTTTTCCGCAGCATTTTGAGCCCAACAACCCCAAAACGGTGGCTTAAATCGGGCTCACGGAAGAGTTGTGCGTAAACCCAATTTTGGTGTAAATTGCGCAAAGCAAAATAAACACATGTCAGAAAATGACAGCTGAGTCAGAGGCGCGCAACCGTTTTTTTCCCGTGACGCGCCTCTAATGGCCGTTATAGCATTTCAAATGTACACTTTTTACATATGTGAATTTCCGTGCAGTTGAATTGTTTAGTGTTTATCGATTGTCCTGCGTATCCTTGCTGATTCACTATCCAAGGTGGACCTTCGTGGACTCCGCCACAGACCCTTCTCTAGGTCACAGGCAGTCATGCTAATTGACGGCCATGTCGCGCCATTGAGCCCGAAACACTCTCCCGTGATTTCCACTTATTTTTCCATTTCAGCACGGAAAAAATCAACGCAATTAATGCCTCCAGTTTGAGATAACATTCCCACGAATACCTTATCGTGCATCTGGCACAATTCTGCTTATATTTGGCAAGCGAGTGTAAAAGGGGTTAAAGTGTGTATACAAGTGAAATGTATTCAACTGTAAATTTGTGTGTTAGTCAAAACTCACAGGATTAAACCACACAAAATCTCAAAGGGTATTCAGAAGCGGAAATAAATGTTTTGAATACATCAACTCTGGATGGTGGATTTCTCAGTAAAATTGCATGAGTCAGTCAGTTAAATGTAATCATTTGCTGGCTTTGTGTGCAAACATCATCAAAACTATCTAAGTGAATTAGCGAGTGTTTAAGAAATCCTTTACGACGACGCTTCATTGTAATGAGTGAAAAATAGTGCAGAAGTTTTTCAACAATAATTAAGAACTAAACTGAAGATGACTAATTAAAAATTGACTTTGGAAAATAATATTTTCAGATTTTCTATTAACTTTTCTACACTACTGTCAAAAATTCCAATAAAATCAACTATTACATTTACAAAATAATTCTTACACAGCAATATCATTATTATTATTATTAGAATGGGATGGGTAGGCCATATTTATGGTCTAGATCTAGGGCACTGCGACTATAGAAGCCTATTGTACCCAACCTGAAATGAGGAGCCAGACGCTTCCAGGCCAATCGCCGCAGGTCGCTGAGGGAGGACACTCCCTCGTGAGTGTCCAAGAACTTCAGCTTCTGCTGTATGAGAAATGATGTCACTCTCATTGACAACTTTGTTTTTTTCAACGGTGGCAGATTGTCACATTGCCGACCAACCATAAGTGATTCTAACGTCCACCTTTAAACAGGGACAGAGCGCGCAAGACAATTCTAGTGAAGCGTATATTTCAGCTCGAACATTGCTCTACTTTTGCAAAAATTTGAAAATTTTGCAATCCGTGCAATTCGAACACACGACTGTCGCATTGGGAGTCAAAGGCGTTGATCACTGAACCACGGCTGCCCTTCAGCAATATTACCACCCTGATGAGCGATTGAACGATGAATGAAATTTGGCAAATTTCACAGCAATATTTATGCTAAATTTTCAATTAGGTCTCTTGAAAAGTGGCAATTTTCACTTTTCAACTGCGAAATAGTCTGAAATTCCATTAGAATTCCAGTAGAATTAGAAACACGTCGAAGGAGAAACACCTTTTGCGCCTTTTGCCATTACATGATAAATTGAAAATCTATTTCTATTCACGTCTCTCCTTCCGTTTATGTATCGCCAATATAAGGCTATATTAAGACGAGAAAAGCTTATATTGTCGATTGGAAGTGACCGCGCGGATATTAATGGAAGTATAGAATTAAAGACTACACAATATTCTGCCTCGTTGGCTGATCAATTCGTTCGTACCTCTATTTGTGCTTAATTTGATTTTGATTGGCCTCGTTATCTATTCCAGATTACAAATCGTCGCGATTGACGTCGGCGTTGGATTGCGCTTCAAGGGAAGAAGTGCGTGAAAAGGCCTCTTTCGTCACATGAAGCCACGCTTGGCTGACGTTGAGTGACCCGGCCGGAGGGAAAGGGTTCCCTTCCCCTTGCCATGGTGGGCGCGTGGGTGTCTGAGGAGATTCTGTGACTCCCGCTTGAAATTGAATAAGGAAGGCGAGAACCCCGTCATTTTGCCGGCTCCACAGGAAAGACGGAAGGCATCCGGAGGGGATTTGTGTGTATAATTCTCAATGA